TTCAGACACAATGATTATTTTGGCCGAGATCCGACTACATCCTCGTCTGGGCACCAAAAACAGGCGGAACAAAATGTGTAGACAACATCAGCAGAGTGAAGAGACGTTGATCACTAAGCTTTCTTGCCAGTGACACCTGCGACCACCTGCGGAAGTACCAAGAGAACAAAAGTTAAACGTCTGAGTGGATAACGCTCACGCATGCACGAACTCATCTCAGTAAATAAAAAAGCACAGTTTGGATGAAAGAGAGGGGGATTGATACTACAATATTTCAGCATGATTACTCAGAAGCATGAGAACCTGGAAATGGTCCGATGGACAAATGACAAATCATGTGACTGGCAACAGAAGGTGTGATGCAGAGTTTCAAAAGATACCGTGTGCAATTCAGTCAAATCTGTCAATCAACTATTTAAGCCATGTCTGGAAAGCAGGATTTTCATGGGACATAGCTCAATTCCAACCAGAGTCGAGGGATTCCACATTTACAAAGGAGCCCTTGGTACTCTTTTCCAGGAGTTTGTAGCCCATTAGAGCACAAACTTTAATTTGTAAGTTTACTGACTCGCCAATATCTTGGCTAGTGCACAAAGAACATGATAAAACTGGGAAATGATAAATGGTGTGGCTAGAACATTTGAGAGGGCTAAATGATAAATGCGATTTTCGTAATTATATGAAGTGGTAGCACAGAGAAACGAATAAAAAGTGGAGGGGATCAACATACATCTTTTAGTTCAACTGGGGTTTTGGCATTTTTCTCAGTCTCCCAAGAATCCAACATTGGCCTAACAACCGCTGGAAGAAATAGACCTGAAATTGCATATCATAGCATCAGATGAGATATTTAGCAGAATGATGAGACTGGGAGGGAGCTACGCTTTTCAATGATCAATGATCACATAAGCTATCACAGCCAAATCAGTAGATCTTACAAACCATGCACTAAACTTGCACTGTCAGAGAAACGTGTGAATGGTTGGTTCATGACCTTAAAGCGTAACAACTGCCCACTACTCAAAATGGTTATGCCCATCCAACAGATATACTGCACCACAAAAGCATGCAGTTTGACTAAATACTAGTTGGGGCACAACAGACGACATGTTTTTGGTTTCGAGGATTTATGCGTTTAGCTTTTTGGTTGAAAAGTAGAATCGAAAATAATTGCTGCCCACTGTTTGTGATGCAGCACACTAAATTTGACCACACTAGTTCTAAACAAAATGAATCCGGTTGCAAAGAAGAAGAGAAGAAGAAAAATGAAGAACAGACACCTCCTCCACGCCTAGAGCATATGCAACAATGGCTGTTATGTGGTCATGAAGGCTTCAATGAAGGAGAAACTAAGCAAACCCTTGGAAGAAAAAGGAACTGATTTTACCGTACACCTGCAACTAAGTTCCAGTAAAATGCTTCAACTATGGCTGTTCAATTTAACACACAGATTGCTGGACAAATTCCGCTAAGATCAACTGACAAATATAACTAAGGAAGTCATGGCATGGATAAAATACAGAGGTAACTCTCATCAATTATGAATTTAACGAACGAACAGCAATCATGACCGATATCGAGACGTATAGAGATACAAACAACTAATGACATACATCGGGGTGGAGCTGTGAGGTGTCATAATCTGGTAGTAATAGGGTCTACTCGTCTATTGGATAAGATGGAATCTAACACATAAAGCAAATATTAAACAGTTAAAGATCCGATCTGTTTTTTTTCCTCATATTAAGCAGTAAACAACATGTCGCATGCAAACAGCCAAGTGTAAATTGTGAAAGAAATAGTCTGATTCACCAGTTCCCAAGGAAGCGGTTGCACATAGTCTAGCTAAGTCACCCCCAGTGCTAAGTAGTCAGCTCATATGTGCCAAGCTGTAGTCACATTCCATCAATGGACAGAAATAGCAGAAGGCGTGTCTGGTAAATGGTGTATAGTTGGTCGCTATACGTACAAGACGGAGTAAATCTTCCAGAGTTAAGTCAAAATAAATAGTACTATAGCGCAGCTCAGCACAAGTACATTTTGACATGAGTCCCAGAGGCACAGTTGATGTGTGCAAATGTCATTGATATTGACGCTGATGAATGTAGAAGACATCGAAGCGTCCTTGGCCCCTGCCTGCTACTATTTGGTTGGATAGCATAGCAGTAGTTGGATCTTTATGTATGCGGCGCATGTAAATGTATCGCCCATGAATTGCGACGGGGGCACGCATCCGCGGGACAGCGAGAATCCTAGATCTAACGAACATTGGCAGGCCGAGAACGCATGGACGCGTCGCCATCCGTCCACGATCTATCCTCGAGGGCCAATCCCCCCGCCCCTCCTCAGAAATCCATCTAGGCAAACTCGCGCGAGGAGAAATGAAGGCGAGCGATGCGCGCGCGCGCGCGTACAGGTAGGTCTGCACGGGGCACCAAGGGTATGGGTGGGAGAGGGGAGGGGCGCGGCGGGGGTACCGAATCCGGCGATGAGGCAGGAGGCGGCGACGACGGGCTCCTTGACGACGAAGATCTTGAGCCTGCCCATCACGCCCATGGCTGCTGCTCCGCGATCCCCTTTCTTTCTCTTCCTTGGTTCCTCCTCGCCGTCGTCGCCGGGCACGGGCACGGGTGGGTGAGTGGACTGGGTAGAATGGGGGAGAGGGAGGGGCCGAGCGAGTGAGGAGAGAGGCGCGTGCCTCGGAGGCCCAACCTCTCACTCCACTGAAAAAGAACGCCGCACCCGCCCGGCCCGCCCGCTCTGACAGGGATAGAGGCCCACGGCCCAGCTCTGCAGGCGCCCTCGAGCGGAAGAGACGCACTCCGGATTATTATTCCGTGCGCGCCGGCGAATATCCCCTCCCGTCCCGCGAGAGCGAATATTTCTGCGAGGAGAGCGAATGTACCGTCCGCTTTCTCTCTTGCTTTTTGCCTTGCAGTGCACGGCCACCCGCACTCGTCTTCCTCTTCGGTCTTCCTCTTCCTCTCCCGCCCCTGCCGTGCGCCTCTCGCTCTCTTCTCCGGAGCTCGCCTCATTCGCCGGTCGCCGGGAGCGGCCGAGGCGCCGTCGCCCATCACCCCTCCGTCCGCCAGGTCAGTTTATCTGCATCGCTTGGTACTACGTACATGGATTGAATGGAGCCATGCTTGTTAGCAGCATATATTTCCGTGCCATGTTCATGTATGTTGTGTTGTCTGTCGCACGGCCTACCTACATGAACATGATTGATCGGCTCGAGTGACGAGTGGTTATGTCCCGACGTGCCGCTCGCTCGCTCCTTGCTTTGGAAGGACTAGTTACATCTGTGCTGCTGCTCCTCCTCCTCCTCCTACGAGGATCGCACGTGCTGACTCGTCCCAGAGCAGGATGGTGAAAGGCGGACTGTGTCTGTTCTAGAGCACGTACGTACTCTACATGGCAGCTGCGTGCCGTATTTCTCCTGCCTGCCTCCTCTTCTTGTTTCAGTGTGACTGAATTTCTCGCTAGCTAGTTTCAGCCTTTCAGCCCTGCTGTTTTGGTCGGTCATGTGCAGTCTGGAGAGAACCTCGCATCGTTCTTCCCATTACTTTGGGCCGGTCTTCCGCATCTTGCCATCATTCAGTTAGTTCAGACTTGAGCTACATCTTGACAGAATGGCTGGAACTGATAATTTGTTCCAGTCTTGCAGAGGAGCGGCTTTCTTTTCCGTGCATCACAAGTTCTTACTTCAGAACAAGCCCTGGCTTCCACCAACGCGAAAGTGAAATGTTTCTTGCTTAATTATTTTTGGTCGATGCTGTCTGCCTGGTACACCTAGGTACTGGTCGTTTCCAGTTTCGATGTGCGGTTTGGCCTCCATTTATGCTGGTTGTAATGGGTAGTATCATACACTAGTATCATGTGTATGATACTACCTCCCTAATGCATAGTATCATATATTAGTATCATGTAGTAATTTATTTATTGCCATGCATGACACAAAATAGTATAGCATTTAATATGATACGGTATCATGATTATGATACTACACCCTTTCTTTCTTCATTTAATGCTATGACACCTCATCAAAATTGCCTAGTTGGCATGCATGATACTAGCTATGGTACTAGCATTACGACCAGCCTTACACTCTCAGCGGAGCACTGATATCGGAGGACAGCAGTGACCTAGGCATTAATTTGATGGCATATATGCATAGACACGGAGAGATGAAGCAAGCAGACACATGTGTCATGGTTCCAACCACCTTCATTTTGGAGCTGGAGTATGATCAGGATCAGCAGGAGCAGGCAAGGGAAGGGGGCCTTTGATAAAAGGAAGGAACCCCCAGTCAAGAAATATGTTGCCCCGGCGCAACAGTCCAGCTCGTATGGCACCAGGAAGAAGAAAAAGGCCGCCGCTCTTTCGCTCGCCGAGGTAAGATCAAATGATCTTGTCCGTGATTTCCAAAGGATTTATTTTACTTGGTCAAGCTTTTGAGCATTCCTTTCCATCGATCCACCCTTTCCTCAACCATGACGGCGTGTGTACGTGTGTTCCTCAAAGCCGGGCGTGCAACTTTTTTAATTTTCCTGTATACTTCGTATATAGTCCATATTGAAATCTCTAAAAGGTATTGTATTTAAAAACGGATGGTGTATATGCCAGTGTTGCACAGGAAAGAAAATATTCAACTACACCAGAAGGTTACATCGAAGTGGTGAAGATCGAGTCGATTTATTCAAAGGGATAATCACAGCACAACATTGGAGTACACGCAACGCAACATGCGGCCGTGTACATATCGGTCACAGCTTAATTACACTCATCACACAAGGTACATCCATCTGCTCTCTCCGAGCTAATACAATGTATGGCGGCTCATCTCAATCACCACTCACGCCCTGTGACGCTTCTGCCCAGGTGCGCAACGCAGGTACACCTCCTCTGTTCTCCAGTCTCGAAATGTCGTTTCCGCCGATAGCAGAGGGCCTTCTCAAGGGAGGAGGGAAAATAGGTTCAATTCTTGCGGGGATGCTACTCTAAATCCGTCTCATCTCCACGGATGGTATACGGAGGAGACATGAAATATGATCTCCTCGCCGGCTTTTCGGGGTATAATTTACACATCTCTTTCGTTTCTGCAAAATCAAACACACCAACTGCGGTAAGCAAATCCGCCAGGAATTAGGAGATATGACGACGACCTATGTATATGTAGTGGAGGAAGAGCTTCTTTACCTTATGATGACTCGATCGCCGCGACCCTCACAGGCTTCGTTACTCTTACAATGTTCCTCACATGCTCAAACGCCATCACTATCAGGCCTATGACATAAAGAAAGCTTAGTTGCAACTTTGCAAGTAGGTTATACACTGCTACGGCGGCGTTGCCAGCTTCGCCTGTTCGTATCGTGAGGGTTACAGGCCTTGCAGAAATAAGGGCACCGGTTTCTGGTGGTGGTAAAGGGGGTCAGCGTAAGAGGTGTGCCTTCCAACATAGCCTTCCAAAGAATTTTGCGGCGTTCAGCAGCCGGTTGTTGAGCATACCTGATGTGTTTTCTGGCTGGGACGACCACTCATGCGGCGCCGTCGCCGACTTGGTGGCCTTTATCAGGTCCATCAGCGCGTTGTTGACCTGTCGTAGATTCACAGTTACATCAGTTTCTTGTGCTTTTTACAGTTGCTCGTAGACATGAATGAGAGGAGAAATCAATAATCATTATCACAACTGTATTTCTTGTTTTCTTTGGAACATGGAGTTGATGACACCCTAGTTGTATCAATATTTCAATCGTACGCTTTACTGTAAATCGTAAGGCTCTCTTTGGAACAAAAAGAAGCCATCCTAGATGTCAAATGGTCTGAAAAGAGTCTCCATGGCCAGTCTGCTAAGATGCCTTATTGTAACTATATACATCTCTGGCAACTCTATTGAAATTATTTGCCCGGTTTGCAATAGTTCTGAGTATTTTGATGATTCGATCTACCCAGCTTTACTATTTTACCAAACTTGATGCTTACCTCTTGTGGTCTTTCATGGCTGACTAGATGTGCACCATGAAGATCTACCATTCTAGCAACAGGAAGAAGCCTTTGTGCAAGCCGCCTCGCATGACATACTTGCGCAATAATATCATGTCTGCCATTTGTAAAGCAAGGTGTGAGCAATACACTTGAAAAGAAATAGGCAACACACATTATGCCTGCAGATTGAAAAATGGATGCATATTATCTTCGATATTTCAACTGACTAACCTTCCATGAATAACTGAAACTAGGAAACCAGCAGCACGTATTGTATCTAGCTCTTTAGTTGTCACTTTGTGAGTCCAGCATGCGTTAATTTGACCTTCAAACCCGCAATTAGATTGCATCCCTGAAGATGATATGCCTTTCACATATTCCTGAAAGTTCAATGTACAAGTGGAGATGAAATTTCCACAACAAAAGGAGCCAAATGTACGCAGACAATGTTCCGAAGTGGGTACAACAAAAGCTTCCTTTCTTCCAAACAAAAGATCCAACAGTTTATCCCTATGCAGTGCATTGTCTTTATATTCTAAATAGGGGAATGCAAAAGCATGATGCCAAACTTCCACAAAAAGAAGGCCTAGCCAGACATCTATGAGATACTTTTAACAGAATTCTTGAATGACCTCCTTAACGAATTCTTGAATGACCTCCTTAACAGGACAACCCCCAGCAAACAGCATGATAAGCAACAAATATAATCCAAAAAAATTGTCTGATGCACACGGTAAAACTAGCAGGAAGAATAATGAATATTCTGTGCAAGTATATATGACATTCACCTTATATAGGATCGCTCTCCTTGTGCAGGATTCAACTTCCTCGTCGAGGTATTCCTGCATTTGAGTGACATGTTACCACTGGAAACGAAAAACATATACAGACAAACCGGTTTGCACATTATTCAGGCAAGGACAGACAGTGCATCCTCAATTTCTCACCTTGGTATAGTGGGTTTCCAAGTCGACTAGAGCTCTTTGCTCCGGTGTTCTCGCCCTTAAGAACCGGAACGCGAGAGATAGCATCTGTGCATCTACCTGAAAAATTGACAGCATATCAGTCAGATTTCAGCACTTGCAAAGTTCCTCATCTCAAACAAAGTAACCCCTCGGCTTGTTTTCAGGTCCTCAGAACTTCCCAAATGAGTAAGCAGGTTGCAACATCACAGTACCTTGGGGAAACACTCCATCCCACCGCCGGTGACGTTCAGCAACGCCAGCGAGGACAGCCGGTGAGGCGCCAACGCCGCGAGCTTGCAGGAGATCATCGCACCCATGGAGTGGCCGAAGACGTGGGCCTTCTTCCACCCCAGATGGTCCATCAAGGCCAGAGCGTCCCTCGCCATGATCGATGTCCTGAAAGAGAAGGTCGTTCACACGGTCAGTAGAGAGAACCATCGTTTGTTTGACTTCTCAACGCGTTTCATGGAGGAAGATGTCGCCCTCTGTTTCTTCCTCAGCCGCACGCGTGGTACTATACTACTAGTATTATTTTCTCATGAATGAAAGCAATCGCGAAGAAAGGGAGGATGAATCGAGTAAAACGTGCATTTATTCTCGCCGAAAGCTACAATCTTCCTTGCGGATCTCGAAGGAGGAGCAATGTCGTCTACCTAACCCTGCCGGCCGATCGTCGAAACCGACGGAAATTTGGATCTAAGGCGATGATGGAGCCGGAGAAAAACTCACGAGTAGTAGGATTTGTGCGGGGGGATGGTGCTGCGGCCGACGCCGCGGTTGTCGAAGCAGCAGACCTCGATGCCCTCGCCGACGTCCTCCTCCTCCGTCGCCGTCGCCGTCGCCGGCGCGTCGGCGGGGGCGCCGGCCTCCTCGTCCGTCCGCGCGGCGGGCTCGGGCTCGTCGCCGCCGTCGGCCGGCTCCATGGACCCGGTCAGCCCCCTTATCTGCGGGCCCCACGAGTCGTGCGTCCCCGCCAAACCTGAAACGAGGAACCATTTCTCAGAGAAAAGTTCCTGCGAAGGAGAAGAACATCGCGCCGGAGAAAGGAAAGGGATTTTTGGGGCGGCGTGCTTACCGATGACGAGGAGCACCTTGGTGGCGCCGCGGCCGTAGCGGCGGTAGAAGAGGCGGACGCCCTCCCACTTGTCGCCGGCCTGGTACCGGTCCACCTCGCAGTAAGGCATTGCTTCGCCGGTCGCCTTTCCTCGCCTCTCGCCGCCGCCGGGATCGATCGCCTGGCTTCTCTCCCTCCCCTCTCTCTACCAGGGATTTATGGATTTATTTAGCTTCTCGTTACTGGGGAACAGGTGGGTTGGGTCGGGCTGGGTTTGCCGAATCGGGGGCCGAATCGGATTTAAAACGAGGGGGAAACGGAGTGGAGCTCGGGAGGGAAAGGGCGGGCGATTTATAGCCGCCCGAGAGCCGGAGTCGTACAGCCGGGCGGAGCCGGGGGCGCGAGGGAAACGGGTGTGGAGGAGGTAGGAGGGGGAGACGGATTCCCTCCCGCCCGCCCCTGGAACACGTGGATGGATGGATACGCGCCGGCGGAGACACGTCGGCGGGTGGTGTCGCCGTCTGCTGAGTCAAAGGGGACGCGCTCGCTCGCTCGCGGCGGGAAGATGGGAGTGTGGGGTTCAGGTCCACGATTTTTGGGTGGCGATTCTTTTTCGTGAGCGTGCTGGTGAGTGGTTTGATCGGCGGCAGGGAGTGGCGCTGTGCTGTTTGTTTTTGTTTTGGTGGATGGACGAACTTGTGGTTGGATAAAGCCGCCGCGACGATGATGATGAATGATGATCGATCGATCGATCGGGAAGCGGTGGTGCCTTGTCTGGTTGTGCTGTGCGATCATTAAATAAATACTCGGCCGGGTCTTTTTTTTTTGCAGGGAAATTTGGGAGCTCTTTATTCAACACTAACAGCTCCAGCAAAATCTGCCGAGAGGCTGGTTACAAGAAAACTTGGGTAGAATTAAACCAACATTCTGTAATCTAAAGTGTTTGCTTGCTTCGCACAAAGATGAGCACAGACATTAGCTGCCCTACCAACATGCTGAACTACAAAAGACTTAAAAGAAGGAACACGCTCCCCAATTTCTGAAAAGATAGGCGCCACCACCGTACGGGAGGTGTGGCGCGAGTTCCAGAGATTCACAATCTCCAAATTATCAGACTCAGGCACCACTTCAGCATAGCCTCTGAGGTGTGCGAAGATCACTCCCATCGCGTAGGGCAAGAGCTTCAGCTATGAGCGGGTCTGTGACCCCAGGGTATGGTTTGCACCATGCCGCGAGAAGGGATGATGGAGATCTTGCTACTCCCCCTG